CCAGCCCCTCCGCCTTCAGCACCCAGGAGTCTGAACCCCCAGCCTTCTCCCCCTTCAAAACCAGAAGTCTGAGCCTCCAGCCCCTCCTCCTCTGGACCCAGGAGCCAGGGGTCCAGAGTACACAGCTGGTGGATGTTTCCACGGAGAACAAGCGGGGTGGGGGGAGCACTTCCTGGGTCCTGAGTCAGCGAATACCCAAGGGAGTCTCAAGGTCACAGTTCTGGGAAGGTCACTGCCACCCTCCCTGTATCCGCTCCCCAGGGGGCTCCTGGCATCTTGCCTCCTTCCCCCCTTCCTCCCCTAGGGAGGTGGTACATCCCTGCGTCCTGACTGAACCCCCCCCCAGCCCCCCATCAATGGCGGAGTCCGAACATCCTTGCACAAAGCATCAATTCTTCCCCAGCTCAGCCTTGTAAAGGCGCCTGTATTCGCAGGACCTAGGCATCGGGGTCCCAGCCCCTCCTCCTTTGGAAACCTGGAGTGGGCCCCCCACCCAGTCCTTTCTTCTCTCAGGACCCAGGAGTCGAATCGGTACCCTTCCACCCTCGAGACCGAGAAGTATGGACTCCTAACCCTCTCCTCCTTCAGAACCAGGAGTCCAGACCCCAGTCCTCCTCCCTCAGACCCAGGGGGCCAGGTCCCAGTCCTCCTCCAGACTCAGGAGTCTGAACCCCTCGCCCCTCCTCCCTCAGACCCAGGGGTCTAACCCTAGCCCCTCCTCCCTCAGACCCAGGGGTCCAGGACCCAACTCCTTCTCCATCAGACCCACAGATCCCAGGACCCAGGCCTCCTCCCTCAGGCCCAGAGGTCCAGGTCCCAGTCCTCCTCCTTCAGACTCAGGAGTCCAAACCCCTGGCCTCTCCTCCATCAGACCCAGGGGTCTAGGACCCAACTCCTCCTCCATCAGACCCAGGCACCCAGGACCCAGCCCTTCTCCCTCAGGCCCCGAGGTCCAGGTCCCCAGCCTCTCCTTTCCTGGAAACTTCCAATTCCAAGTCCACAGCCCCCAACTCCAGAATCACAGTCCTGTCCTCCTCAGTTCTTTGTCTCCCTTCTCTCTGGGGACCCAAGCATCAGGTGGGGGCGTCGGGGTGAGTCAGCAGCCTCAAACACAAAGTCTTCCCTGTGGCCCCCGCGTTCCAGGGATATTCGGGACTCCCTAGATTCCAGGCCTCATGCCCAGAAAGGAGGCGGGGAGTCCTCTGGAGGACTCACCCTTGGCATGGGGTTGGGGGATAAATTCCTGCTTCCGGAAGGGTGCAAGCCTGCACTGAGCACCCCCCGTCTGATCCTCCACCCTGAGTGCCCTCTATGCACTCCCTTCCCGGAGAAGCCCAGGCTCTGCCCCTGCCCCCTTGGCCCACTGGGTGTATGCAGAAGAGCATGGGTGCCTGGTTCTGATGGGCCTGGGGTCAGCGTAAGCTAAGACCATGGGTGCTTGGGTCCTGGTGCCACAGGCCATTAGATGCTGGCGGGTCTAACTGACTCCAACCCCCCCACCAAGCCAGAGAAAGAAAGCTGCCTTTGTGTTCCCCAAGACGGGGACAGGCCAGGCTCGCACGACATTAACCCACCCCTGGGCCCAAGCTCTGCTCTATCTAAGGTCTTGAAATCCATGGTGGAACCTGACCCCCACCCCGAGGCTGGGGACTCAAGCATCCAGCTCAGGGGTGGGTGGGGGTCAGTGATAGAAATCTCCCAGGACCTGTTCCTTGGGGTGACTCACAATGAGGGGAGGATCCCCCTGTTTTCAGAATGGCTGGTCAGAACTTTAGCAGGGAAAAGTGAGTCACCCTGGGAGGGAAACATTATTCGGGATCACAAGCTCCCCCTCCACAGGCTCCCCAACTCCGAACAGCCTCTTTATTCTTTCTTGGTATCTGCAGATCTGGTTGCTTCTTTCTGTTCTGCCCAGTTTCTGGGCTGTGGCTCCCTGTTTCTCCCTGTATGCATCTCTGGGCAGGCAATTCAGCTCTTTCTCACTTCCTCTCCTCTGCTCATCTTGGACCCTTCTTTCTTTTGCCATGAATCTCACCACCTTCTTCTGGTATTCTTAGCAGATAAATAAGCCAGGAAAGAGCAAATACATTTTTGAAAGGGTACAGACAGACTCCATCTCCCATTCCCGTTCCTGCTGGCTAAGTAAAGTGAGAGAGGAAAGTGGGGACTAAGGGAGAAATGTGGAGACCACTGATGCCATCTTAAACTTGATGGCCAAGACCATTCAGAAATATCCAATGAAAAGGAAAGCAGACAGGGCCCTTGGAGGTGCCCCAGCTCCCTGCCGCAGGCTCTACAGAAGGGGAATGTGAGGCTCAGAGAGGTCAGAGACTGACAAAACTATACCAATGAACTGGGCGAGGCTGGGACACAGCTCCTTAGCTCCTAGCCTAGAGTTCTTCCCAAGATACCAAGCTTGCTTTCCCCTTGTAAAGCCCTGCACCATGTAATTTAGAGGACATTTTACAGAGAAGATTAGGGTGACAAGAAGGAGGGACTTTAAAATCAAACTAGGGATAAGGCTTAGCTGTCTCCCAAAAGTGCTGGAAGGGTTGGAGAAAGGAATCTTGAACTGAGAAGGTGGTCAACTGAGGCCACATTTTGATTCAGAGAATCTCAAATCCCATGACTCTAAACAGTCAAGAATTCTTCAAGGCAGAGAGATCAAGATCCAAGAACTCTGACATGCTTCAGAATTTTAAAGATGTCAAGATTCTACAATGCTAACAGCGAGGTTCTAGAACTTGAAAGGTGTCAGGGTTCTAAAGACTTCCAGATTCTAGAATCCTAAAGATGTCAACATTCTAAATACACAGATTCTTTATTTACTGGATTCAATGGTTCCAAGAGCCTATGAATCTGGTTTTCAGCCTAAAAAAAATAAAGCAAATTAAAAATTGATGGAAATGCAGCTGAAGTACCAAAGCTGTCATCTGGGAAATTGGGGCATGTCTGTTGCAAAGAAAGGAGATACTGATAAAAGTTAAGAAGGAACCACAGAAGACTACAGAAGAAAGGCAGAGTATGTGAGATCAGCTTTGCCCCACACCTTGTCCAGAGGTGAGGGAGGCTCTGCCTGAAACCTTGGATGGAGGAAAGTGTCATGGCACTCAACTTGCTGGAAGGCCCTTCACATCCAAGCAGGCATTCCCTTTCAGGTCACTGAGTTCAACATCCTCACTTTACAGAAAAGGCAACTGAAGCCGAGAGGTGGGGGGTAGGTATTATGGCAATTGGCAAGAGCCAGGACTTAAATTCAGGTCCCCAGCTTTGTGCCACCTGGTTATAATTCCTCTCCCAAATCTCTGTGGTACATCAAGCCTTCCAGTTTTTGCCCAGCCACCATCCAATCATCTGTTTCCCCCCAAAGTGGCTCAACCTGCCAGGGAAGGGGTAATCCATAGTAGGTTTGAGACACACACAGTATGAGACTGTGAGTGTTTGGGTGACATTTCCTGACCTTGTCCCCAGCCTCAGGGTCACCCTCTCTTGAGGGTCTCTGGCTTCCCACAGTGTGTTATAAGGATGTGTGGATGGCTCCCTGGATGTCCTGGAGGGGGCTCTATAAGTCATGGCCTGGGTGTGTGAATGGGTGGGGACAGTTTGGGGAGGCATTTGCTGAATCCACGTGTCTGCCCACATGCCAAGGTTCTCCATTCCCCCTTGCCTACACACATGCACACGGCCCATTCCCCACAGGGCTCCTTAGGCTGTCCGGTTTGACTCAATTCCTCTCCAGGGCACAGAGGGATCAGAGATGGAGGAATGAAGGATGGGGATGGAGGATCCTGGGATGGACATTTAATAGGAAGAGAGAGGAGGCAGAGACAGGGGACAGGAAGACAGTGGGACAGATAGAAGGAGAAATGAGGGAGATAGGTGACAGAGGAGGGGCTAGAGAAATGGGTGACAGAAAAATAGGGGACAGAGAGACAAGAGGATGGGGCAGATGAGGGACAGAGAAAAAGGGACAGACAGAACCAGGGTGACAGCAAGACAGGAGCAGAGATGGAGAATGGGGGCAGAGAGGGAGGGCAGAAATACAGGGAAGAGACCAGGGTGAACAGGGATGATGGGGAAGGGGCAGACTGACCTAGGAAAAGGGGACAGAGACCAGGGGACAAAGGTGGGGGACAAAGGCAGGATGGAGAGATGGGGAATCCGGAGGCAAGGAGAAAGGGGAACAGACAGAAGGAGGGACAGGACTTCAAGACTGAGGGACAGAGGACAAGGGTAGGAATACAAGGAGAGGGAGAGGGATCCAGACGGGGACGGACAGGGGGTCGCAAGACTGGACAGAAGGGCAGCGGGACCGGCCGGGAGAAGGCGGGCTTGTTGGGAGGGGGTGTC